AAGTTATTTTTAAAAATAGTAAAAGTTAAATACAAAGATGAATAAAAATAAATCATACAAATTACAAACATCAAAAGTCTAAGAAAACAGTCTTTTCCCATTAACTGCTGGTATTGTCTATAATACTTTTTTTAAAGATTTATTTATTTATGCATACAAGACAAGAGCTGGGGTACAGGCCAGCGGTGTGGGGAGATGAGAGAATTCACCAGAGACAGAGTAGGGAACAGAACAGGCAGATTGACCAAAGTACACTGCTGAGGGGAGCAGGGAGCGAGTCACGAGAGGTCTGCTGCGCCATGTGGGTTGCTCCCTGGCCTGCGAGGGATCGAACTCGTGCTGCAGTGGTTGCAGACAGCTTCATAGGTTGCATCTTAACCCCTTGCACCACCAGGGAGGACCCTTTTTTCCTATTTTTTAATATAATTTATTATATATTTTATATCATTGTTCATTTTGGTACAATTTTTTGGTTCATTTTTTAATAACCTTTCATATGACAATAATTTTCTATACATATAATTGAAAGAAAATTCAGTCTTTCCTTAATTTGGTTAAATATCTTTATTGATAGAAGGACTGTAAATATGCAAAACTTCTTCTGGTATTGCCCTACAAATAAGAATTCTATATATTGAATTCTATTTTACATGATTTTCATTTTTAAAAGTGTGGTATATTTAGTTATAAAACTATCTACTGCATTATTGGGCATATTACTGCTATTAAAGAAGTTGTATCAATTAGAAGGTATTCTTTTTCTTAAATTTTTGTTTTCAGTGCCAAGAATAATTTTCTGCAAATCCCCTTTTGGTGGTGCACATTTTAGATCTTGTTTCATCTCTCTCTGCTCCCCACATATTTTCATGGTCAAGGTCTTAAGATAACAGTTTATGTCTTGATAGGACTTCTGATCCTGCATCTTGATGTAATGCTTGGTGAATTACAATATGGACAAATTGGAATCTAAGCAATAAACTACTTTGGAAAGGCTGACAGCAACATACATATATCCCACTAAATCCAAACTAGATGTATTCCCAAGTCAAATTCTCAGCAGATCCCAAAATACCCCTAATGAAGGGCCCTGAGTTGTAGCTTCATCACTTTCACAATAAATACACTTCTACTCCATATATTCACAAATGTGTGTGGAACAACTGTGTGAATGAATGAAGACAAAACTGTGCTAAGGTAGCATCTCCAGATGCTCACAACTCTAAAATTAGACATTTTTACAAGACTTCCTAATGAAATCTTAGGATTTAGTATTTAGAAAATTGTTATTATGAGTGCAGAATATAAGAATATAGGATAACTTTAAAAAAAATCTAAATACTACAAAAGTAAATGAAAATTCAGGGGTGATTGTTTTATGATTTCAAACTAATTTTTCATGGACAAAGTTTGCTGTGATGAAGGCAGAACATTATTAGTATTTACAATCCATTGAAGTGTTTTATGCTATCATGGAGTCGAGATTATTATTAAATATTGACTGTTTCCTTCATAAGGTAGTTGCTTTTGTGAAAAATATATCATGGGCTTGTATTTGCCTATCTGTTCACTTTAGGAGCCCTTAATAATAACACTTTCATTATCTTTTACTTTTGCAAGTGGTCCATTAATAGAATTGTAGCTGAACAGTGGCATTATTTTTTTTTAAAGATTTATTTTATTTATACAAGAGCTGGGGTACAGGCCAGAGGCGCGGGGGGGTGAGAGGGTTCACCAGAGACAGAGTGAGGAACAGAACAGTCAAACAGACCAAAAGCACTGCTGAGGAAAGCAGCAGGCGAGGCAGGAGAGGTCTGCCCCACCATGTGGGTATTTCCCCAGCTGGCCAGGAATCGAACCCGCACTGCAGAGGCTACGGACAGCTCACAGCACTACACTCAACCCACTGCATTATTGGGGAGGCCCTGAACAGTGGCATTATTTACTAACACTACCACTACAAACACTAGAAAATCTCAACATTAAGGACTTTACATATGATTTTGATGCCTCCTCACTTATTGGGGATAGTGATTCTTGAAGAAATACCAAGAGTATCACATTTTTCTTGACAGTTCTTTTAAGAGAAATTCTTAAATGTTATTAAAAACATAATTCAGTAGTAAATCTTTCCCATCTGCTTTCATCCCCAGAAAAACTTCTGAACATTTTACCTTCTGAGTAGGCATTATGGTGCAAGGCCTACTTTCAACACGCAAAGTCCAAGACACACGTGGTAATCATTTAACTTCCTCTGAAAGATAAATTATTCACTGGGTCTGCTAACTGGAGGGAACAATTTACTTCATACTCTTTTTGATATTCTCTGGGCTTTGGTAAGTAGCCCTTTAATGGAGATTCTCCCCTAAAATTATAAGGTTAGAAGTAGGAGCATTGTTTTCATGTATTTATTTTAGCTCTTTCCTCTTCACAGAGGAGGAAAGATTTGCAAAAGATGAAGTGCTGGCTAATCTTGAGGTATAGTCTACACCTAGTTGAAAGCAACTGGGTAGATTTAACTTTAATGGTTAACTCAAGCCAAAACAAATTAGGGTGAGTGCCTAACTGCTGCAGTGCTTCTGGGAGGCAGTTGTGGGTTACAAGGATGGTAACAGCCATCAGCTGGTGCTGAAATGACCTGGGCCTTAAGACATCCAATCTATAAACAACCTGCTCTACCAGCACCCCAAAACTGAGGGGTCAGAGGATATTACTCCAAGCTAGGGGGTATTACACAAAGGCACTTTCCTTCCTTTCAAATCAAAACTGCCTTGGATATTTCATTTTTATCACATTTGTATTTTTTTTTTTTAGTAAACTATTATGCCGCATCACTTCTGATTTCTATACCCACTCAGGCAATATGGCTATAATGCAAACCAACAAATCAAAGCACGTGGGGTGGGCCTTGCTGGTGGTGTGGCGGGTTGAGCGCAGGGAGGTGAAGCTGTGCACAGCCTCTGCAGCACGGGTTCGATTCCCGCCCAGCCAGGGAGATTCCCACACGGCATGACAGACCTCTCCTGTCGCGCGTGCTGCTCCCCTCAGCAGTGTATTTAGGTCATCTGCCTGTTCAGCTCCCCTCTCTGTCTCTGGTAAATTCTCTCACCCTCCTTGGCCTCTGGCCTGTACCCCAGCTCTTGTATAAAAATAAATAAATCTTTAAAAAAAAAAAAAAACACCTGGGGTGAATGGGCTTTGTGTTTTCCCTACTAGCCAATAGAATATAGAAAACTAAAAATCCATAGTAATGTATGAATGAAATAAGCCAAACACAAAAAGGACACACACTACATGTTATCACTTACATGAATGAATCAAAAATAATCAAATCCATAGAAGCAGAGTGGAATGGTAGTTGCCAGAAGATGGGGGTTGGTGAAAGCAAGGAGGTATTTATTAGTCAAAGGTGTAAAATTTCAGTTATGCCACATGAAATAGTCATAGAGATTTACTGAGCAGCATAGTGTTTATACATAAAAACACTGTATTGTATATTTAAAATCTTGCTAGGAATACAGCTCTTATGTTAATAGCTCTTGTCACAAAATAATAGTGCAGAAGGATCTTTTTGGAGGGGGATAGATCTATTTCATAGATTGTGATGATGGTTTCATGAGTACATTTTTCAAGTTTTATACAATTATGTATAGTTTTATGTATGTTGATTTTTTTTAACCAAACATCGGTACTACAGTGTAGGGTAAGGTAAAAAGTATCAGGCTTTTCTGCCCTCCTGCCATTAGGATAGATGACGGAACCCTGTGGTCCCAAATGCATGCCTGATGGCGGGCACCTGGAGTAGGGTGTGGGCATAGGTAGATGGGATTCACCTGGGCTAAGACTGGGCTTTTAAGGGCGACGTCACGGGGACGCCAGCAGAAGCCAAGAAGAAGCCAAGAACAAGCAGAAACCTAAAGAAGAAGAGAAGCAGAGAAAACGCCAGAGAGCCCAGATAGAGTGAGGATTTGCTGGGGGCTGAGAGGACTGCCAGCCTCCCGGCCCACCAGCACCCCTGCCTGCCATATGCCTGGTAAGTCTAAATGAAAGACCTGCAAAAGCCACGGAGGACTCTGACTCCTCCTTTACCCGGTCTGCTGGATCAGAAAACCTGCTCAGTGCCCCATTCTTGCCCCTACATACAATCTGTAAACATTTTAAAGCAGATTTTCAGGACTCTGGTTTCTACATTTCAGTGACGTCTGTGTAACAACTACCACATAGTCAGCTTTTACAAGTTTGAATCACACTTGCTTTTGATCAGTGTCGCGGAGTAGTAACATAACTACGATGTGAAAAATTTAAAGCACTTCCGTGTTAGGAAAAGTTACTCCACATTCAAGCGAGTCCAACAAGAAATGAGTTGACAGGCCAGACAGGCACCTGTGGCTTCCCTTCGCTGCTGAGATTCAGCCTTGGGGCAACCTAATCTTTTGCAGTCCCGATGGAAACTGCTTTCAGAGTAGCTGTAAGTTGAAAAGGGGCCCAGAGTGCTCTGGTGCTGCATGCAGCTCACCAGGTATTTTCACAAACTTTAGTTAACAAACCTCTCCCCCAAGACGGAAAACCGTGCACTGATTGTAGGAGAGAAAACAAATCAGTAATAAAAAAGCAAGAACTGAGCGCAAACAGACTGCAACTTGAATCAGTTTGAGCGACAATCCCGGATTCCAGGAACTCGGGCAGAGCGTTCCCACCTCCGGGTCACGACCCTGCAACCCGGAGGACAGCAGCTGGGCTCCGGGCTGACCCGCGGCCTCAGGCTCCTCCCCGGGGCGGGCCCGCGGCCTCAGGCTCCTCCCCGGGGCGGGCCGGCGGGGGCGGGAGGAGGAGCCGCCGCGCCGCGCTTGGAGCCGCGCGCGGGGAGCGCGTCGCTCGGCGCCTCCCCGGCCCGGGATGGACTGAGCAGCGCCAGTGGCCCGCGCAGAGTCGGTCCTGCCCTCGCCGGGTCCCGCGGCGCCGGGCCGGGCTCTGGGCGCGGGACATCGCATCGCCTCGGCTCTTCTCCGAGCACAGCGCGGCGCGCAGCGGGCTGCAGGGGAGATGTCCGGCGCTCGCAGGAGGGGCGGCGCCCCTTGGCACAGTTTCTCCCGGTTCTTCGCTCCCCGAAGCCCTTCCCGGGACAAGGAAGAGGAAGAGGAGGAGAGGCCCAGCACCAGCCAGCCGTCCGCTCCGGCCCGGGCCGCTGCCAGGTGGGAGCCGTGGGGGGCGCGGGGGGCCCGGTGCCGACGCGCGGGTCGCGGGCTTTCGCCGGAGACCCGCTGTCGGACTCGGCCGCGCGCCGTTTGCCACTTTCTGTTCTTCCTCCATTGCTAAAGTTTCCTCCTCGCCGAGTTCCCGTGCCGCTCGTCTTGACTCGTGAAGTCTGGGTGAAGTGGGGGGCCCGCGGCGGGGCGCGCTCCCCTGCCCGCTCCGGGTGCGCGGGCGGGATCCGGCTCCGTCGCCACCGCGCGTCTGCTCCCCGCGTCCCGCGGCCCAGGCGAGGCCCCGGCGTCCTGTTGGCCGTGATGGGACAGTCGGGAGCCGGCCGCGTCGGGCGCTCAGCCGCGCAAAGGGGGCGCGATCCGAAAATGACCGGTGTGGGAAAGGTAATGCTTTGGAGCGCCACCCTCTCGGCTGGTATTTGACCGTCTTGTTTATGTTTCTTAAAATGATTTTTTTTTTTTTAACGAATTGCAATGCGGAGTTCCCAAGACCTTAAAATATGAAAACCTTGTTCGATTTATTTACCCCTGCGTGGACATTTAAAGCATGCTGCCCGCCCTTCCTTCCGTCTCTCCTCGGAATCATCTCCCTCAAAGTCCCGGGCAGATCCTAGAAACCCAGGACTGGAGCTGTCAGGGTTTCAGTAGTGCCCCGTGATCTTTTCTCCTTCCCCCACCTGCCGTAAAATCCATTACTTTAAAATGTCTCATTAAAATGCCGGTTCCTGAGACTTTTCATCCCTCCTGAAGGAAGGGAGAGTAGTCAGCGAAATGCAACTCGATCTTTTAAAGTTTGGATGGAGGCTTACTCTCCCTTCTCCAAACTGTGCTGGAGGAGTGAGTGTGTAACCCAAAAGATGGGGGGGAGGCGCCCCAGAAAGCTATGTTTACTTGGGATTTAAAAGACTTTGTGGAGGACTTCTAAGAAAAATGAGCAGGAAACAACTGTAACTGTGACTGTTGGCTTTAGTGCTCAGGTTTGTAATTTGAATCCAGTCGGTTATGTGCTCCTCAGTTTTTCCTACTTATGAAACATTTCCATCTGTTGATAAAGTACCCCATCTTTCCAAGAAAATGCCTACTGTAATTACTATAGTTCTCTGGGGAAGTTTATTGCCCCCACTGATAGGGGAGGATTTAAAATTCAGAGTTACACTGCAGTTAAAAATAGTTTTGAAGCCTGACAAGGCTCAACCAGAACGTCCTATCTGCTGGTGTGGGCAGATAGCCTGTGGTGCCTGCCATCTCTGTAGCACTAACAATCTTGGATAATATGGGAGCAGTATTTAAAAGAAATTACAAGTGGACTCAGGAAAGGTGGGAACCTTGAGTCAGTGTTAGAAAGGAGAAGGCGGACCAACTTCAGGTTTCTATCAGAATTGTCCTGAAATCATTACTGCTCTATTTTTGGCTTTTTAAGCACTTCTCACATCTGATTTCTTCTATGTGGAGCTAACCACTGTAGCAATTAGTCTCTTATCTGTCCAACACTTCTCTATTTTCATCATCTGCCAATAGGCACAGACTGTGACTTTTTGACAATGGAAATGTTAATTGTGCTTTTATGAGCACTAATTTTGTCCTCCTGTTTTTGGAACTTGCCACATGTGAAGGGAATAGCAGATAATCCTTTGTGTGGGTGTTTTGCAGTTTTAAATGAGCTTAAATCTTTCTTTTCAAGGATATGAACACACACAAAGCCTATATTGAAAGTTTAATGAAACATGGAAATGTTTAGTAGTTCCCAGTGTCCTAGTAACACAACACTGTGGTGTTAACAAGGTTGGAAACAGAATTGCAATTTGTCACTGTGATCTTATTTCAAAAATTAAAAGTATTTTTGAAGGCAGTAAGAAGTTAGCTTTAATGGGAGCAGGGTTCACTCTTAATACTGGTGATTTTAGGTATTTTGGTGTCCTCAGGCAGAACAGTGCTTGGTGTTACAGGGTTGTACAGATGACTGAGAAAGGAGTCCTTTCTCTAAAGGAAGCACTTGGAAAAATGTTATACTTGAATTTGGACAAACCTATATTATCAGTGTCTTTCTTCTTAAAAAAAAAAAAGTTAATGCCAAAGTCTAATAACTACTTTTTAGTCAGTGAACATGTCACTGAGCCTGTAACTTGGAGGCCTCATACATTAAGGATTAATGTCTGCATTCTGGTTTTTCTGTGTACTCAAAACGAAAGTCTCCCAGACTTACGTCTGTCTTTTCCTCTGAACTCCCAAAGTGGATTTGTGTGAATTTATGCATGTGCAATACAAACAGGCATAAATTCCTTAAGAATTTCTTAACAGTACCTTAAGGAGATAATTAAAAGATTAAACACAAAAACAAACACGATACTAGTGAGTCAAATTTGCAACATAATCCTGCCAACACTTTTTGGCTACTCAGAAAACAAGAATGGTACTGACTGACATAGTACCATAGGGTCTCTGTGGGCTACTTGTCTCTATACCACTCTCTATGGTGCTGTGATTTAGGTTTTCTCAGAATCATAGGAAAATCTTTGCTTCTATGGTGTACTAGAAGTTACTTGTGGTTTGGTGTAAAAACATTTATGTATTAGAGTTTGCTGCTGTTCAAATCTCATTAAACCTCAGCAATTAAAGACAGCCTGTTAGCTTCATCGCTTGCGTATTCAAGCTGAGGTGTGGGCACTCGAATCACCTTTCAGTACTTACAGCTGGGTGATCAGATCCAGGAAGTGCTTGTGTTAACTTATTTTAGATTGCAAAGAAATAAAACTGCAACTGAAGTTTTGATAGAAAACTTAGGAACACTGTGGATCTGAGTTTGAGAATCACTGCTGCAATGTTCAGCCCAATCTAAGAGCAAGTTAGGATCAGACTCATTAGAAATCATCATCAGAACAGAGAGGGCTCCTGGGTACAGTTGGCTTTATCTTTTGTAAGGCATTGGTGGAATCTCAGTAGGTACAGAACTTAACCAGGAAGACAGAAATAGGTAAGGGGTCTTCTAGGCTGAACAGTCCCGCAGGGCTTTTGGTCTGTTGGGGGAACATTACTTTAGTGGGACAGTGAAAGAGGCAGTAAGTTAGGTTGGAGCTGGATCATATCTCTAGACAGAGCGGCTCTCCGTTTAGAATTCAGAGAACTTTTACAAGTTTGTTAAACAGCTAATATTTGCTAAACATGAATTTTGGCGGTTACCTGCCTTCTAATTTTCTCTGCTTTGAGAAAAATGATTTCCTAGCTTTGTTTCTCTGCTCTATCAAAATGATGAACCTGTTTAAAATGACTTCCATGTGACATTTGCAATTCCAGGGGGCTAGAAAAGTGAGAACAGCATTTTTCCAGAGTTGACCGCACTCACTCCTGGGTTAGGTGCTTTTACTTGCAGCATCTCATTTAAACCTCACCCACCGTCTCGAAGGTTGGCGTATGTGGTGCCAGCAAGGCACAGAGCAGGTTTTTTGTGATCCAGGCAGATGGGTAAAGGAGGAGTCCTGGGGCCCTTGGTGGCTTTTTCATGCTTTTACTGATCTTCTACACCATTCGTAGTGAGGGAACCAGGTGGGGGTGGGGGGATGGGGCTAGGGGTGGACCTCCTAGCCCCGGGGGAATCTTCACTTTTTCTGGGCTCTTTGGAATTCTCTAGTGGTCTCTTCACTGTCTCTACTGCACCCCGCCACACGGGCCTCTGCCGCCACGTGTCCTGTGATGCCACCTTTGTACGCGCAGTCTCTCGGCTCAGGTGTACCCACTCACACACGCCCACACCACACTCCAGATGCCACCACCAGGCACGCGTGTAAGCCCACAGGTGTCGATCACTGATGCTAATGTCAGGAGGATGGAAAAAACCTGGTAACTTCCATTTATCCTACAGCACACTTGCCACCCTCTGACAACTGAGGAAACTGAGGGTGGTAGACACTGTTCGTATCATGGGCATAACAATTCTTTGTTGAGCTGGCCTGTCCTGTCCTTTGCAGGCCATTGGCATCATGACTGACGCACTAATTGCCAGTAGCACCCTCCAGTCACTCAGACCCAGTGGGTGGGAAGGACGGTGATACCATCCTAGTGGTGAATAGTTTACCCCAAGTCATGAGAGTAGTAAATTCCAGGAGTGAAATTTGAACGTAGGTCTCTCTAACTGACTCCAAAACTGTTTTTCTTCCTCTCCCACCCTCACCATCCTGGCCACCACCCTTCTGAACTATGATTCTTCAGAATATATTTGAATGTGTATGTCAGTTGAACCAGATATCACTTTATTCCAGAATGGGTGACATTGTGTCCTATTTAAGGAATCTTTTGGCTGTTACTTTGGCTCAACATAGAGTCACTGATAGAAGGTAAAAGACAATCACTAGACCCTAGTATAGGGGAGGGAGTGCTTATTCGTCTTGGTGTCTTATTCATCTTGGCATCCCCTTGATTCAGGTGAGTTGGTTGATGGAACATTAGGCGCTTACTGGTTTTCTGCTAGGGTTAGTGTACACCCATCCTCAAGGTGGGTTGTAACTCTCTCCAGATAGTGTTGGACCCTTGATTTAAAGTCTATGGAATATTTGCTTGCATCTTGGATGAGGGTGTTAAATGAGTAGAACTGAGATGCTAATTGGCCTTAGGCAGAAGATAAACTCATAACAAAATGAGTTTTCCCCTGATGATCAACATGAAAGCTGTTGGCCTTCAAGTTAAAGAGCTAGTGTTGACCACAACATTAGTTATGTAAGTCAAGAGCACATTATTCTGGATTTTTATGGTGTCTGTTTTCATTGATTTGAAAATACTCTAGAAAATAATTGGTAACTAGTTCATTTGAATAAGAGATACCTTTGTGGTGTTGAAGACCATATTAGCAGTTCATACTTGCTGTAATAAAGCAATATGAATGGAAAATTCTAGATGATTAGAAAATTTCCATCTTCAGGTATATGTGTTTTACAAGAATCAATCCCCCAGCTTAACAGAAAACACAAAACCTGCTACTCTTAGCAGTGTAGTAGAAA